ATAATATATCAACACATCTCTGGAATAAATTCTTACAATTAAGCTACTTACAATTAATACAAGAATATCAAACATGAAAGTTTAAAATCCAACAAATTAACTAGTTTCTACATGAATAACACTCTCAAGATTTTCCATTATATGCATTCTTGGTGACTTGTCTCCCTGTTATCATCACTATCATAATCGTCGGCCTCGTTCGTTTCGCTGATTTGAGTTTAGAATTTGAGTTGAGATGTGATTTTATGTGAGAGCGTTTTACTGTAGCAAAAAAAAAAATTAGATGTGACTGTTTGTAAGAGCTTTTTACTGTAGCAAAACTCAAATTCTAAACTCGAATCAGTGAAACAAACGAGGCTTATATCCATTATATGTATCCCACAGTCTCCACTACAATCAACAAAAACATAAATAAAAAAATCAGATGCACAGAATATAAATTGAAAGTGAGAAAAATAAGAAAAAGAAAAACATACAAGTTTCAATTAAGGATCTAAGATCATACACTTTATATACGGCCTATCCTTGTAACATACTCACTTCTTCCTCAAACAACACATAGTTATGTCAATATATTAAAATAAAAATAAAAAATAAAAAACAATCTATCAGATACACAAGAAAAGAATTCTGACATAATATAAACAACATTTGAAGGAATTAAATAAATTAAAGCAATCAGTCAGATTATGGGTTATAATATGCCAAATTATTCACGATAATTTGCCGAAATATGTAACATATGTTGGGTCCTTAATCCAACGTTAGATTTATATGTGAATAAATATGTGTTGTAGATTATTATATAAGGTTAAACCTATTTAAAGTGGTCTACTAAGTTTTGGGTAATTTGGACTTTAATATCTAATAGAGTGTGAACCTTTAATATGTAGAAACTTAAAGGTAATTTCTATTTTTATGATGAACAAAAATAGAAATACTAAAAGATAACATTGAAGTTATCTATATATAGTGGTTATGATCCCAAAATCATACGTATTATTATTCTATTTTTTTCTGACATCTCATCATCAGAAATAAAGCAAAGAGAAAGTTAAAAATTTTTTCTAGAAAAACGTGTTAATCTAAAAGACAAATCGTACGGCTTTAGAGAATAATTATTTATTATAGATTTAAGTACGTTTTCGCATATTATTATGTTAATTTTTAATGATTTAATGTGACCGTTTCTTAAATTTTGGGAGATGTTTTACATTTAAGGATGTTTTCTAACAACATGAACTAAAAAGTTAATTCGAATGAATACAGCAGATCATGGCACCATAATCAGAAACAAACAAAATGAAAATATATAACATCACCACAATTACATAGAAAGCAAGAGCCACAACGAATAAAAAAAAAGGAAAAACTATTTAATAAAATTGATAGAGGGAAAAGCTTACAAAGTCACTAAGCCAGCGTTCCGGAGTGCAAATATCATAAAATTAGTATTTCGTATCGATTTAAATTTTCAGTTTTAAATTTTTAAAAAATATTATATTTAATTTTTTCTGTTACAGTTAAAAATTCTAAACGAATATTACATTTTATTTCGAATCCACAAAACAAAAGAAACCCAGGTTTTATAACATGAGCATCACGAGCAGGGCCCCACATTTTCTTTCTGCAATAAATCAGGAAGAAACAAACTTAAAGTAGGAAATAAAAATTCTAAAAATACGTGTAAGAGAATACAGAAAAAAGAGAAAAAAAAGAAAAACATGCAAAACATACCGATTTTTGGGCTTGAAATTAGTCCTAAACTATGTTTCAAACCTCCCTGAATCTTTGTTTGGAGGTTCAACGGCCATAATGGTTGAGAATGCACAAAAATTTAAAAAATCATCAATATGATCACACTTAGAAAATGGAAGAGAAATGAAAACTATAATGTATAAAAAATTAGAATGATAGAAAAGATTTTGATTTTCTCTTGACTTGTTTGGTATGATAAGGAAGAAAAAAAATGAATCTGCCTTCCATTGTTTGGTATTAGAAGTGAAACTAAAGGGATGAAAAAATTATTATTGGTGTAATTACTTTTTTGTCCAAATGAGGACAATTTTGGATGAAAAATAAGGACAATTCAGTAATTTGACCTCATTTGTGTAGTTATCAATATTTTTTTCCTAAAATTCACCAAGTTTTTGGAGGGATTGAATATGGTAGGATCCACTAATAAAAATTTCCTTTCAATTTTCTTTTCCTTCACAATTTCCTTTTTACCAAACAAACCAACTTCCCAATTTTTATCCCAAAATTCCTCCAACATTTTCTTTCCTTCCACTTTTCATTCATACCAAACACACTAGTCACATCCAAAACATCCTCCACTTGACCATCAATCTTAGCATCATCAATTTTTTCAAGAGCAATTAACAATATATATAAAATAATTAACATAAAAACAATATGCAATAAGTGAACAGTTTAAAATACTATATTTTTTGAAAGCTTTTGAATTTTTAATTTAAATTGTAATATGATATTTTTTAAAAGTTTTTAATTATAATAAAAAAAATTAAGTGCGATATTTTTTGAAAAATTTTAATTGTAAAAATATAAACTAAAAATTTAAATGTGTAAAATAAATGAGACCTTAATTTTTAGTTTACCTCACCATTGCGGAACCTCCTCTACATTTGCCATTAATATCAGAAGAGCCACCTTATTTTTTTTGTCTTTCCTTTGTCCCCTACCAATCTTAACACTCAAAAAAAGAACAAGGATATAAAGTAAATAATAAATAAAAAAATAAAAATGTATATGTACGAGATGGAAAATATAATGTAAGAAAATGTTTCCTTGAGTTTTTTTAGAAAATTATTGAATTTATCTTTAAAGTGTATGCGTTTAGATTTTTATCATTTACCTTTACTTAATACCCTTTTAATAATATAATTGTTTGATTAAAAATATATTAATTAAAAGTAAATGATAAAAATTCAGATCCATATTCTTTAAGGAGTATTTGTCTCTTTTTTTTTTTTGTTGCTAAACACTATTCTTGTCATTATATTTTTTATGCTTGTTCATTTGCATTTTTTGAGTGACTTGAGTTCAGTCCCTTTTAATAATATAATTGTTTGATAAAAATTCAGATCCATACTCTTTAATTTGAGTTTGTGTTTGGATGTTCACATTTTGAGTTGTGGTTTGAATTGAGAATCTATTTGAGTTTGTGTTTGCATGGATCAAAACTTGAATTTGTATTTAGATAGTATTTTAATAAAAACTCAATGGTGATGGAAAATTTTAATAGGATATATGGGTGAGATTTTATTCGTTTCTTCATTGTGAATGCATAGAAAAAAATCATCTCAATCAGAATTAAAACGAAAAAGTTATGGTGTTTTTAAGAATAGAAAAAATATTGTTTATTAACTTGAGTTTAAGTTTAGGAACTTGAGTTAAAGAGAGAACTTGAACTCAGATTTTACCCTAAACTCAAGTTAAAACTCAAATTTTACAAAAGAACGTGAATTTAAATAAAATTATAACTCGAGTTCAAACTTTTTTTGAGTTTGAGTGCAAATGAACAAGCCTATATTAAAAGTTCAAATTCAAAGTTAGCCCTCCAAAGATTAGTTTTCATCAAAGTATTTATCTATAATCTCTTATCTATATCTCAATCTATCTATCCATAACTATGTTCTAAGTGGGAGTTTCCTTTGTGCAATATTCAAAATTTTGGCTAAGTTATTTTGTCTTATTTTTATTTGGTCTTATTCTCTCTCTCTCTTTTTGTTTTAAAACTTTCTTAGTTTGTCTTTCTCTTTTTTTCCCTTTTTTTCTTTTTCCTAAAATCATATATCTTCAAATGCATATAATCAAAAGGTTTTTATTTTAATTTATCCCTGTTGAATTAATTTGTTTCAAATATATCTCCAATTAAATTTTTTTCTAATCATTTAAAATATAATCTTTAAAATCTGCTCTTGTTTTTGAATGTTTAAAGGTCCATTTTATCATAAATATTCATTTCTTTTATTTGTCCTACTTTCGATAATACTTCTAAAGTGCATTTTTATTGAAAAAATTTTCTTGTCATCCTCTAAAATATTATTTTGTTCATTTTAATATTATGCCTTATACCAAATGAGTGAATACATAGAACTAATAGAAAAATAATTGTGTTATACCTATATATTCTTTGTAACATTCTTTTTCTGTTTTGTTTCTTTTTAGAAATTGAAAATATTAAGAAATTGCTAAATGAAATTTTCAATTTTCTCTTAATTTTATCTATATTAAACAACTAATATTTTATTTTATACTTCAAAAATTCCTCCAAGTTTTTTTCACTAATGTTTCATTTTCTCAAATATAATGTTACTGTTAACAGTTAATAAACAGTCAATTAAAACATTTATTGTTAAACAAACTAGAAAAATAATAATATGTAAAAATCAAAACTTAGACACACGGAAAGAATTTATAAAATTAGTACCACGTGCAAAGCAGTGGCACTAACTAGTGTAAAAAGAAACAAAAATTAGCTTTTTTGATAGCAAGTCACTAATGTGGTACTAAAACATCCCTGATTTTTTTCAAACAAAAGAAAGGAGTAAATTGCACAATTTGACCCTTACGCGGTGTTTGGAGTTTTTACGTTTTTTTGAGAAAGAAAAAATAAAAATGAAAGAGAAATCGCGTTTGGTATAATTAAAGACAAAAAATAGAAATAAAAATAATTTTTTAATTTAGTGTAAAATGAGAGAAATGAAAAACGACTTGTACTCATTTTTTAATTTTTATTTCTGTTTTCTTCTCTCTTAAGTAAAGAAAGACATTAATAAATTTTTTTATATTAAAAATAATCTTTTAAAAGAATTACTAAATATATTTTTAAAAATAATTTTTATTTAAAATTAAAAATATTTTTATTTTTATTTTTATATAAAAAATAAAATTATTTTAAAATAAGTATTACAACCCAGATTAAAAACTCGAATTCGTAACGCGAACAGTGGGTTAAATAAAAGCTTGGATCTTCCGCCTTATGCGTTCTCACCACCTAGGTTTCTTTGTGGCGTGCTCTGCTCACTGTATTATCCTATTTCTCTTCTTTCTTTCTCTCGAAAACCCTCGCCTTAGTTTGAACAGAAAAATATTGATGGCTTCTCAATCGGCTAATTTATGGGTTTTGCTTGGGTTGGGATTGGCCGGGATTCTTTTCGTGACGAGGAGGCTGAAGAAAGCCATTAGAGAAGACTACGGAGCTTTTGTCGAGAAGCTTCAACTTCTCCCGCCTCCTCAGCCCGCTCCTCCGAAGGCTCCTCACCCTCTCACCGGTCTCACCTTCGCCGTCTCCGACGTGTATGCCTCGCTCCTTTCTTACCTTTTTTTATTTTATATTTTGCTGTTAATCAGCAGAATAGTCGTAATCCAATCAAATGTTTTGCTTCTGTTGATGCTATTTGAAATGGTTCTTGAATTGAATTCGAAGGTCTAGTTCTTATGGCCCGTTTTGGCTTATAGGTTTGAACAGAAATTCAAATTTGTTTAAATTTTTGTGGGAAAACACCAGCAAAAAAAAAGTTTGGTTGAAACCTATGAAACAAAGGAAGGATTAGAATTCTCAAATAAAATGGTTGAGTTGATGAAATAAAACTCAACTCTGTTGTGTTATGTTGTGTTGGTGCCTAGTTAATAATGAAAAGCCTTAAACTAGGAAAAAAAAATTTCCACTTGTAATAGCGAGAAAAATCATGTAGTTGTTTTTCCATTTGTTTACGAAAAAACTGGAAGGAAATTGACTGATTAGTGGTAATTTAATGCTCATAGAACTATAAACTTGTCTATTTGCTGTCGCTAAGGCTATTCAAAAAAGTTTTTATCAAAAAAAGGCTATTCGAAAAAGTGAAATGAAGATGGGACTGCAGTTTTCTTAGTATGACGAAGTAAATGGCTTTTAGTTAGTAAGATGAGACTCGTGGATTGTGATACCGAGAAGAAAAAGCACACACTAACTTGAGCATCCCTACAGAGAATGTATGTCAAAAAGCTGAATGTAGCCATGAAAAATTTGGAAATATTTTGGTGTTTGTTGAATTCTCTTACTTTTTTTTCCCTTGAAGCTTTTTGAATTTCTAGCTATATATTTGCTCGTTCTGTTAATAGACAATAAATGGTTGACTGACTATCTAGGTTTTTGGGGTGAGACATTTGTATTCTGAGTGACCAATTTTGAATATATACTTTCCAGGTTTCAAATTGAGGGACACGTTACTGGGTTTGGTCATCCAGACTGGGTGAGGACACATGAAGCAGCTTCTGGAACATGCCCTGTTGTCTCCACTCTTGTTGAAGGAGGAGCTACTTGTGTTGGTAAAACTGTGGTCGATGAATTAGCCTATGGGTATGTATTTATGCTTAAGATGCGAAAGACAATGGACATGGGTTTTCTTGCCGCACCGCACCTCCGC